GGTACATTTTAGGTATACAGTAGTTACATTCATTGTTGGGATCTTGTGCCTTTACATGACAGGTCTTGGTTCTCATTTTTTTCCCCTTGTAAAAAAATTTTTTTGAGACAGAGTCTCACAATATAGACCAAGCTGGCCTCAAACTTGCAGTGACCCCTTAGTCTCCTCCTGAGTGCTGGGATTACAGGCATGCACCACCACATTCAGCTTCTTCAAACTTTTAATAGTAGTCTTTAGGTCTTACGGAATTGCTGTACTTTATTATGTATTTCCAAAATAAGTTATGTATTTTTTCTATATCACACGAAATACTGTGTATACACACGCACACTCAATTTTTAAAAAGCAACTGGTAGCACAACAGTAACTTTGTGATCTGGAATTGTGAGGGGGGGTAATAAATTAGGTACTAAGCCTATGAACACACTTCACCTTCTTTTTTTCGATACTGAGAATCAAACTCAACCTTGCACTTGCCAGGCAGGCGAGGCACCACTGAGCTGTATCCCTGGCCCGCACTTCACTTCGTGCACCCATTCTACTCTCTGGTCGTGTGTGTGTGTGTGTGTGTGTGTATGTGTGTTTAAGAATAGGAAAGATTTATTGAGAGAAAGACAGAAGGGGGACCAGAAAATGAGTTACCCCTTCGTGTTTTGTTTTTCTTTTTGGTTTTTTTGAGACAGGGCCTCACTATATAGTCCAGGCTGGTTTCAAACTCAAGATCATTTTGTCTGAGCCTCCCTAGTGCACACACCTATAATCCCAGCACCCAGGAGGCTGGGGTAGGAGAATCCTGAGTTTGAAACCAGCCTGACCTACATAGTGAGAGCCTGTGGGGGGGGGAACAAGCAAAGGAACAAACAAAAATCTTCAAGATAATAATAGGTGGGTGTGGTGGGACACACCTGTAATCCCAGCATTTGGGAAGCTGAGGCAGGAGGATCTTGACAGTTCACTGGGCTGCATAGTAAGTTCAAAGTCAGCCCTGAACTATGTAGAGAGACTATGTCCCAAATAACAATAACAACAAATAGTAATAATAATAATAAAATTAAAGAGTTTTTTTCTTCCAGTACTAGGGGTCAAAGCCAGGAGCACTCTACCAGTGAGCTACATTTCCCAGTCCCTTTTTAATTTTAATTTTTTATTTTGAGATAGAATCTTACTATGATGCTAAGATATGACTCAAATTTGCCATCTTCCTGACTCATCCCCTCTCAGTGCTAGGATTACAAGGATGTACCACTGTGCCTAAGGTATTACTTTTAAAACTCAAAAAGTAAATTTACTTGTAAATTATTTTCAGCTAGATTAGAATAAATTAGTATTTGCTCAAACCTTCCTACAGACAACAGTGAAAAAATCTGGTCAAAATATAAGAAATAACAAAAAGCTCCCTGTAGAACCTGGAACAGCAAGAATTGCAAATTTTGTGACTTTTTGCTAGGTGTACTCCCAGTTCCATGTTGCTATAGTGAAATGAAATGACAAGCAGAAAACTGCAGCCTTACAGGTGGGAGGCTCCAGAGAAGAGAAATTAGGGATGGGAGCACAACAGGAAAATGTGGGGGTAAATCCTGGAAGCAAGAAAGAACTGCAGTGAGGCCCAATGTCTCTGTAAAAGGTATAATACAGGGACAGGGATTTCGCTCAGTGGTTACACCACCTGCTTCACAAGTGCAAGGTCCCAAGTTCGATCCCTGTACCCCTCCCCAAAAAGGTATAACCCAATTCATAGTTACTATTGAACTCAGTACACTTAAGTATATATAGAGGAGACCCTGGGAAACCTAGAAAAGTAAAAATAAAAACCAGCCAGCCAACCAAAGATCCAAAAAAAGTGGGCAGAGGCCCTTGAAGGACAGACATATTAGGAGATCTGTTTGATGGCTTGTTTTGTTTTGTTTTGTTTGATTTTTGTTTTTTAACAACATACTGAATTCCTAAACTGTAGAAAGCTGAAAGCTTACTGGCTTGGGCTGTCAGCAGACAAGCCCTAAACTTGGAGCATAGCTGGAAAATTAGGGGGAAATCACAAAGAAGCACAAAAATCACAGAGTTGAGACCCTAAATCTGGATATAAGCTGCCCAGATCTTTGGCTGTCTTCCAAATTACATGGGTGCAGGGAGGACCTCAGGGTGCCAGGCTAAAAAAGCAGCAGCTAAAAGCTACAAGAACTGAGCAAAGACACCAGCTGCTGTGTACCGCAGGACACACAAATTTACAGTTTGAATTTAGACAAATTAACTTCCTATCAGAAAAAAAAATCCTCAGATGAACACTGCAGGATCCAGAATGCTACAGTATCTTATCTACAATGTCCGGTTTTCTGCTTACAGTTACTAGGCATGGAAGGAAACAAAAATGGAAAGACAGCAACCATGAATGACTAAAGTAGGTATAGATATTGAATTTTACAGACCAACTTCAAAGCAAAGAATTCACTGTGGTAATGTATAGGGTGGAAGAATTACAAAAAATGTGATCAAAGGTAAAATGAATGCAAAAATTCCAGCAGGCATGCAAACAAAACATGGTGTGGAGCTGAAATAAATTAACTGAAATTTAAAACCTCATAGATGTATTCAAGAATTTTGAAATGATAGAAAAGAATCTGTGCTTGAAGATCTGTGGAAATGAGGAAAATGGAAGAAAAGTGAATAGACCATAAAAGATCTATAAAACAATATTAAGTACTCCACTGTGGCTCTAATTGGGTCCTAGAAAGGGAAGATGACAATGAAAAAAAATGTGAAGAAATAATACCCCTAGACTTCTCAAATTTGGTAGAAAATATAATTTATAGATTCATTGGAAAAAAAGCACATCATAACCAAATTGCTGAAACCAAAGATGAGGAAATTTTGAAAGTAGATAAAGAAAAATGACACATTACCTAAAAGGAGTCAGTGTTATGCTTGTTTTTGTTGTTGTTTTTTGGTTGTTTTTTTGTTTTGTTTTGTTTTGGGGTTTTTTGGTACTGGGAATCAAACTAGAGTCCTTGTGCTTGCAAGGCAGGTGGCAGAATCACTGAGTTAAATCCCCGGCCCCAGGAATCAGTGTTACAAATATGACCAACTTCTTGTCAGAAACTGTGGAGAACAGAAGACACCAGGAACGGTATAGTCAAATTTTGAATAAAAACAAGACAGAACCCTGTCGACCAAGAATTCTAGATCCAAAAACTTTTTCCATAATGAAGGAAGAAGACATTTTAAACTGAATTTGTCACCAGTAGACTTAAACTAAAAGTTGTTTTTAGGCTAAAGGGAAATGACCCCAGTCAGTAACCCACGTCTATAGGAAGAGATGAAGGACACTGGAAATGGTAAATATGTGATTAAATTAAAAGATCATGCTATCATGCACAAGGTCCTGTGTTCAATCCCTAGTCCCTAGTACCACAAAAAGGGAGGAGGAATTTTTTTCTTCTCTCATTTCTATAAGAGACATGATTTTAAAGCAAATACTGTAGTTCTGAATTTATAATGTAAATATAGAGATATTTGATAACAGTATACTACAATGGGGAGAGTGGATGGAAATTTATTATTGTAAGGCATTTTACCTGTTTAGAAGAGACATTATTTTTTCCTCTGTCACGCCCAGGAGACACACTTCGAATACATAGTTAGGTTGAAAGTAAAAGGGCACCGCACCTGCCTGGCAAGTGCAAGGTCCTGAGTTCGATTCCCAGTATGGGGGAGGGGCAGAGGAAAAAGGATGGAAAGAGGTATACCATGCAAACAGTAAGCAAAAGAAAGCTAAAGTGGCTATATTAATATCAAATAAAGTTCAAGGCAAGGAATATTACTAGAGATAAAGAAGGACATTTTATAATGGTAAAAGGGACAGTACCTCAAGGAGATATAAATATCTCCAGGGCCGGGGATTTAGTTCAGTGGTTCTGGCACCTGCTTCACAAGTGTAAGGACCCGAGTTTGATCCCTGGTACCAAAATTTTTTTTTAGTTTAAAAAATAAATATCTCCCCATGTAAAGGTACATGATCCCAACAATGAATGTAACTGTACTGTATCCATAAAATGTACCAATAAACTCAATAAAATTTAAAAAAATAAATAAATATCTCCAATGTGTATGATCTAATAACAGAGCTTCAAATCTGACATAAAAACTGATATAAAGGGAGAAGGAGACAAATCTATAATCATGATTAGAGATTTTTAGCATTCAGTTTGATAAAATAGGTAAGGATATAAAAGATCTCAACAGCACTATAATCAACCTCAATGTCATTTGTAAATCACTTCATAGAACACATTTCATTTTTACAAGTATGTGAAGCAATAACCAAGATGTTAACAATATGCTAGTAACCAAGATGTTAACAATATAAATAGTTCCACTTACCATATCATTCAAATACATGAAGTAATTAGCAATAAATTTAACAGAGTGGTGGTGCACGCCTGTGATCCCAGCACTTGGGAAGCTGAGGCAGAAGGATCGCTGTGAGTTCGAGACCAGTCTGGGCTACATAGTGAGTTCCAGGTCAATCTCAACCACATAGAGAGACCCTGTCTCAGAAAACCAAAATGAATAAATAAATTTAAAGAAGGTGTACAAAAACCTACATATTGAAAACTACAAATGAGAAAAAAGACCAAAATAGGCCTCATGGATTGAAAAATCTCAGTATCACTAAAATAGTTTTCTACAAATTAATCTATAGATTAGTACAATCTATCAAAATTTCTGCTGTATTTTTAAATTGGCATGCAGGTTCTAAAATGTATATAGAATAGGCAAAAAAAAAAAGAATAAATATTTTGTTATTTATTTATTTGTGTATTGGTTCTTTGAGACAAGGTTTCACTATGTCGTTCAGGCTGGCCTTGAACTCACTGTGTAGCCCCGGCTGGCCTCAAATTCAGTGATTCTCCTGCCTCAGCCTCCTGAGTGTTGAGACTACAGGCATGTATCATCAGACCTGAACTATATGGTGAGACCCTGTCTCAAACAAAACAAAATAAACAGTGCTCACCTCAGCAGCATATATACTAAAATTGGAATGATACAGAGATTAGCATGGCCCCTGTGCAAGGATGACATGCAAATTTGTGAAGCTTTCCTTATTTTTTTTTAAATGGGTGTGCAAATATCATTGTAATATGGTGTCTTTAATTTTTGGGAGAATATCTAGAAGAGGAATAGCTGGGTCAAATGGAATTTGTAGTTTTAGTTTTTTGCAGAATCTTCATACTGATTTCCATAGTAGTTGTACTAATTTACATTCCCAACAACAATGTGGAAGGGTTCCCTTTTCTTGAAACTTTGCCAGCTTTTATTATTATTGGATTTCTTGATGATGGCCATTCTTTTGGAAGTAAGATAGAATCTCAGTGTTGGGTTTTTTTGGTTTTTGTTTTTTTATACTGAGGATCAAACTCGGGCCCTTGCGCTTGTGAGGCAGGCGGCAAAACAATTGAGCCAAATCCCTGGGCCCTCAGTGTTGTTTTAATTCACACTTTTCTAATGGCCAGCAATGTTGAGCATTTCTTCCTGTACAGTGGTACCACTGTATATATTAAGCATTTGTAGGACTGGGGATTTGGCTCAGTGGTTCTGCTGCCTGCCTCACAAGCACAAGGACCTGAGTTTGATCCCCAGTACCAAAAAAAAAAAAAGGCAAACAAAAAAAATTAAGCATTTGTAATTCTTCTGTAAAGTTTCTATTCATGTAATTTGCCCAATTTCTTGATTGGGTCTTTTATTTTAGGAGGTCTAGCTTTTTTAGTTCTTCATATATTCTAGATATTAGTTCTCTGTGGAATAACTGGAAAAAATTGTCCCCACTCTGTATGTTTTCTTTTCACTCTGTTGGTAGTTTCTTTTGCTGTGCAGAAGCTTTTTTATTTAATATGATCCCATTTGTTGATTCTCAGTACTATATCCTGTGCAGTCAAGATTCTGTTCAGAAAGTCTTTGCTTATGCCTTTGACTTAGAGAGTTTTACTTATTTTTATCTTCCAGCAGTTATGTTATAACATTTAACTCTTTGATCCATTTTGATTTTAGTTTAGTACATGGTAAGAGATAGGGTCTAGATTCAATCTTCTACATGTGGATAGCCTGTTTTCCCAACAGTATTTATTAAAGAGGCTATCGTTTTCTAGTATATGTTTTTAGGCCCTTTGTCAAAGATCAAACAATTGCTTGGGTTTGTTTCTGCATCCTCTGTCTGTTCCATTGATCCTTATATCTGTTTTTGTGCCAGTAAGTTGCTGTTTTTATCACTGTAGCTTAGAAATGTAACTTTAAGTCCAGAATTGTGAGCCTCCTGCTTTGCTCTTCTTACCCAGGATTGCTTTTGTTGTTCTCTGTCTCTTCATTCTCCAGTTCTATGAAGAATACTGATGGTATTTTGTTGGGATTGCATTAAATCTGTATATCAGTTTTAGAAATATGGCCATTTTGACTATATTGGTTTTGCCTATCCAGCAAGGCAGTTTCTCTTAAAGTTAAACATGCAACTTGCAGAAGGACTGAGTAATTCCATTCCTAGGTATTTGACTGGAAAAAACCCAAGTGACTGATCATCAGCAGATGAATGGATAAATAAATTTTGATATGCCAGTCAGTGAACAATTAATTAAAAGGAATATTGGTATACACTACAACATAAATCAACCACAAAAACATGCTATGTGAAAGAAGCCAGACCCAAAGGTGTACATTTTATATGATGCTACCTATATAAAGTCAGAAAGATACAAACCAATATATAGTGATAAGAGAACAAATCAGTTGCCTGGGGCTTGAAGTTGGGAATACTCATTGCACAAATAATTAATTTTAGGGATGATGGAAATATCCTGTATCTTGATTATAGGAATGGTTACACTGGTTTTATAGTATGCATACTTTATGTTTATTGGATATAAATTGTTCTCCCTTGATAAAGTTGATTTTTTTAAAAAAACCTTTCCACTGGGTGGGGGATTTAGCTCAGAGACACAGCACCTGCCTGGCAAGCACAAGTTCCTGCTTTTGATCCCTGATCCCTGGTACCAAAAAAAAAAAAAAAAAAATCTTTCCACTATTTAAAGAAGGCGATTGTCTGCATTCACTAGATCAGTATGGTGAACCTTTTAGAACTTTAAATGCTGCAGTCACCTGCTGCACCCATGCCATAGGTTTACCACCACTGCACTAGATGATTATTAATTAGATTGTTCTCTTCGTTTTGTTGCTTGTTTTTCCAGATCAACACAGTAAAACTTAAATTTAATAATTGTAATTGTAGTGTGAACATTAATATATATATGTGATAGTTAATTTTGATTGTCAGCTTGATTGGATTGTCAGCCTGAGATATCAGTAAAGCTCAATTCTGGGAGTGTTTGTGAGGGTGTTTCCAGAGAAGACTGGCATGTAGAACAATACTGCTTTGTGTTTTGGTTTTTGAGACAGAGCCTTATTATGTAGTTTAGGTTGCCTCTGAACTCACTGTAGCCTGGCTGGCCTCTCCTGCCTTAGCCTTCTGAGTGCTGGAATTACAGGTGTGTGCTACTATGCCCAGCTTATTCTCTTTTTCATAACCTCTTATTTCATTGAGTTATCAGTCTCATTTTTGTGGTCATGTTCTATGAAGAATGTTCCCATCCCAAGTTCTGGTGATCTTGCTTTATGTGACAGTTTTGCTTCCTTTCAGGATCTCAGAATGGTGTATATTACCCCTTTATGACCAATGGCAGATAAGCAAAAGTCTTTCGGGAAGAGCTTTTAGAAAGATAGAGAAATGCGATGGGTTGTGTTTGCTGCTTCCCTAACATTACAAAAAATGACAGGAAAGGAATTTTCTTTTAAAGGGCTAAATCTCTAAAGATTAAAAGAATGAGAGGAGATTGCAGTGGCTAGAATTTTACCTACCAAATTTTTGGAAGCTGAAATATAAGTACAATTTTCTTTGACCAAATGCATGCAATAGAGGAAACTATTTGAAAGCAAGCTATTTCTTTTTTTTTTTTTTCCTCTCATTGAGTTTATTGGTACATTTTAGGTATACAGTACAGTTACATTCATCATTAGGATCTTGTACCTTTACATGACAGGTCTTGGTTCTTATTTTTTCCCTTTGTCCCTGCCCTCCCTTCACCCAGCAAGCTATTTCTTAATCACAAGTAGGCTATGTTCTGGGATACATTTTAGATTCCTTTGAATAAATGGAGTTTTGTTTTGTTTTGTTTTTTGAGGTTTTTTTACACTGGGAATCAAACTTGGGAAACTTATGCTTATGAGGCTTTAGATACCTTTGAATGTGGGGCTAAAGCAAAAACATCTGAAATGTGGAGGAGTTAGCGCCCCAGATCCCTTCATCCCACCCTTTCAGGTTACTATCCTTCCCCTATTCCTGCCAAAAATGGGAAGTTTCACATCTGTAAAAATTAAAAGGAGGAGCCAAGCATGGTGGTGCATGTCTGTACTCCTATCGCTTAGGAGGCTGAGGCAGGAGGATTGCTCAAAGTTCAAGGCCACCCTGGGTTCCATAGTTGGTTAAAGGCCAGCCTTAACTACATAGGGAAGTCCTATCTCCATCAAAAAGAGGAGAAAGTGTGTATATGAAAATCTGGGCAAGAGGCCCTGTTACACCTGAGGGTGGGGAATAGATTTCTTACCCAAAAATTGTGAGACTAAGTGCAAGTCTATATATTCAACAAAGAGAGCTTTCCAAAAACTTTCCCATTTTGGCATCCACAGTCCTGGCTTGTTTGGCTTATTATCATGTCACCACTTCTGTCCCCCATGACACTGGAGGCATCTTGGAGGAACTGACCCTTCATTCCTTGAACATTAGTTACAAGGCCCCCAGCCAAAAGAGCAAAACATTCTTCTCTGGGGAAATTGACCAGCCTGTGGGAAAATCTGTGATATTTCTAGTTTCCCTATCCAGTTGCATTCTGGTACAGCTCAGTATTAAACAAACTGCTCATATGCACAATTCTAGTTAGCTCATTAATACCTTGTATTTTGCATATGAGCAGATGTTTGAAGATCTCCAGACATTTGAAGAAAGACTGTGCTTTGGAAAACAGATTGCTCACAGGGGTAAGATTTTTAGGAAATCTGGGAAATAAGAGCAGTATGCTGCAGAAAGAAACTAGTCAGGAATGTACTTGAAAATTGAAAGCATTCCTAAGTGAAGATTGCCATAAAGAAGTTGGGAGTGCTGGGATTTAGCTCTGGTTCTGCTGCCTGCTTTGCAAGCACAAGGTCCCGAGTTCGATCCCTGGTATCAAAAGAAACAAACTAACAAAGAAGTTGGGAGATAAAATTGAAGAAATCTGGAAAATAAAACAAAGGGACAAATAAGAAAGAAGAAATTAAAAAGTTAAAGGCTATCTATGAGGTCCAGTATCTGACTAATTGGAAAGAGAAGCTGAGGGTAAAACATTATTAAAGAAACAAGAATGAGATACTTTCCCAATAGTTAAAAGTTCTCAGATAGGGTCTATCTAATATCCACAATGGCAAAAAAAGTGAGTAAAAAGGAATCACAACAAAGTACATTATTATGAAATATTAGCACAGTGGTAACAGATTTTTAAAGCATCCAGAGAAAGAAGTCACAAAAAAAGGATCTAAAATAAGTGACGTTAGGCTGTTTAACAATAGCACTGGAATCTAAAAGATGTAGATTAAGCCTTCTTTTCTAAGCTATAATTCTATACCCAGCCAAACTGTCAAATCAAGTGTGAAAGTAAAAATGTTTTCAGAAATGTAAAGTCTCAAACATTTACCTGAAATCTACCTTTTCTTAGAATACCTAGAGGATGTGACCTTCTAAAACTAAAGTGAGAAGACCTGGAGTCCAGCAAACAAGGGATTCAAACCAGAATGCAAAGCAATGTCTAAGGTATTGGAAGGAAAAAATGACAACATACAGTTGGCCCAGGCCAGATTGGAACTAATGACCCTGGGCTCCAGAAAAGATGTCTTCTAGGAAAAATTTGAACTCAGAGACTGTATCATAAAATATATTGCATTGAAGGAATTTTACAGTCCTGTTGAAATTTTTTTAAAAAGAAAAAGACAATCTCCAAAAAAATTTTAAAGTTATATGAGGAAAGAAATAGGCAT